GGGCCGGCGGGGCGGGCGCGGAGCGGCGGCGGCAGAGCGGCGGCAGCGGCGGCATGGAGCGGGCACGGGGAATCTTCGGGGGACCCAAGGTGGGCTGGCGGTGCTGCCGGAGGCGGGAACGGGGGTGCACCGGCACCGAGGTGCTGCGCACGGAGCGGCGAACGCGGCGCGCCCCGTGCGGAGGTGCAGTGTCTGGTTCGGAGGTGCCGTGCCCGGTGTGGAGACGCCGTACCCGGTGCGGAGGTGCCGTGCCTGGGGCTGAGGTGCCGTGCTCGGTGCAAAGGTGCCGTGTCTGCTTCGGAGGTGCCGCGCCCGGTGCAGAGGTGCCGTGCCCGGTTCGGAGGTGCCGTGCCCGGTTCGGAGGTGCCGTGCCCGGGGCTGAGGTGCTGTGCCCGGGGCTGAGGTCCTGTGCCCGGTTCGGAGGCGCCGTGCCCGGGGCTGAGGTGCCGTGCCCGGTGCAGAGGTGCCGTGCCCGGTTCGGAGGCGCCGTGCCCGGTTCGGAGGCGCCGTGCCCGGGGCTGAGGTGCCGTGCCCGGTTCGGAGGTGCCGCGCCCGGTGCAGAGGTGCCGTGCCCGGGGCTGAGGTGCCGTGCCCGGTTCGGAGGCGCCGTGCCCGGTTCGGAGGTGCCGTGCCCGGTTCGGAGGTGCCCCTCTCCGGTCGTGCCCCGGGGCCGGGCGGCCGCACCTGCTCTCCGCTCCCCGGGGCAGCGGCACGGCCGAGCCCTCGCTGGGGATGTGCCCCCGGGACAGCGCTCGGTGCCCGCTGTCACCCCGCGGTCCCAGCCGGGCGCTGCGCTGCCCCGGCCCGGTGTTCCCCGCAGGGACGGGCTCGGGCTGTCCCGGGTGTCCCGCACATCCCGCCGCCGGGGCGATGCGGGTCGGGCTCATCCCAGCGCCCGGCCGGGGACACGGCTCCGCCGGGCTGGGGATGCACTGGTGGCCTGGCTGGGGAAGGGGAGGCTCTGAAGGGCCCTGCATCCCAACCACTATCGTAGTCTGCTAAAACAGATGTTTTCTCTTGTGTCTTTTATTTTGTTTTGGGTGCTGTTGGTTTTTTTTTTTTTTTTTTTTTTTTTTTTTTTTTTTTTTTGGTTATTGTTGTTGTTTGGGGGTTGTTTTTTTTTTGTTGTTGTTTTGTTTGTTTGTTTTTTTCTTTGTAGTTTCGTTGGTTTTTTTTTTCTTTTTCTCGTACACATTTAGTTCAGTTATTCCTCAGATACCCATGACACCACTTTGGAGCACTCTCTGACAGAAGGCAACAATCTTTCTCTCCATGCCCTGTGCACTTCAGCTCTAGTAGGATCATGTGGTAATGTGTTTATTATTTAGATTGTAACCTAGAGGAGGAGGAAGATGAAGCATCTGTGGTTAGCAATAGTCCTGTATCTGATGGAAGAGCACTGCCTGTGCTGCAGGATGGCTCAGCTCTCATGCTGTGGTCTGGGTGAGTGCTGTACAGGGAGCAGGTCTGCCAGGTTGGGCTCTTGTGGGAAAGTAGGAGTCAAGGCAGAAGAGACCAAGAAAAGGGATGTGAGAGTTGTGGTGCTGCTCTGAGAGAACGTGAGTAGTGGCAATTGCTTGTGGCTTTTCCAGAGAAGAAGATTGCCTCCAAAAACACAAAAGGATTGGGGAGTTTTGCTGCTGTTTGCAGTGGCAACTGCTTGTGGCTTTTCCAGAGAAGAAGATTGCCTCCAAAAACACAAAAGGATTGGGGAGTTTTGCTGCTGTTTGCATCCTCTCCCACTCCCAAACAGTTTATCTCTCAGCTGAGTTTGCACCAGGAAAACCTCACATACTTGGAAAGGGCAGTGTGCACAGTCTGATTTGTTTCATTCTATCACTGTGGTTCCCTTTCTAGGAAGCTGATCCATGCAATAGCAGGCAAACCTTGATACCAAAATCCAGGGAGCATTGGCAGCTGCTAATGGTTAAAGCCTTTTTAAGTCCACTTCAGTTTTGGGAGATGGTGGTGCTTCACCAGCTCCACTAAGAAAAAAGGCTGTTGATTCACCCTTTTAAACTTTTGGTCAAGAGAAGCAACCTAAGTTCTTTAATCTGTGCTTCCACTTTTTCTGTGTATGGGAGACTGGGATACCAAAGAGAAAGACCTAGGAAAAACTGCAGGGTTTGACTGCTAAGATCAGGCTTCTGTTGTCTGGCTATTGGCAATTATGGGACTGGTTTTCCTGACTCAGGCAGTCCCTTTCAGTCCTGTGAACCTGCTAAGTCAGGCTTGGGGAAAAAAAAATGGGCCTGAAGTCAGTTAATGAGCCCTATTCATTCCTCTGGATCCTCTGCCATTGGGAACGATCAGTTTTGTGTTTTAGAGATGTTTCTGGTAACTGGAGCAGCTTCTGCCCAGCTGAATGTGGGACTGGGGCTGCCTCTGCATTTTTCAGGAACTCGCTGACTCCCAGAGACTGCAGTGATGAACAGGGAGCTGTGGCAGGACAACTTTGAACCCTGCTTATCGCAGGCCCATAAAAGAACAGAGAAGTTTGATGTTCCTTTGATGCCAACCATGACCCTTTCTGTTCAACATCCAGAGCAGAGACCATGTCCTTGCTCACTGCCCTCTTCTTGTAGGTCAGTCCCAGCTTGGGGGCTTCAGGACATGTGGCTATCTTCTCCCACAGCTCCATGTGCCATGTTGTGGAGAGCAGAATGGGAATAGGGGTTTCTGGGGTCAGGCCCACTCTCTCCAGTGACTGGTGTAGCTCATTTGCAAAATAATCATCAGGTGACATGGGGCAGTTGTTCTGTGAGGCACACCTTGTGTGTCAGCCTCTCACAGAAGGCTGGCCCAGCCTGGGTGGTACCAAAGGTGCCTGTGCTGGCTGTACCCAGTGGGTTTGGTGAACATCCTGCCCCACTCCCTGTAGCACTGCAGACTTTCCCTGCCTATCATGGGGACTGCAAGAGCACAAGGATGATGTTGGATTTGGCTCATCCACTTCTTGTGCACAGCCTGACCCCTGGCTCGGCATGGTCGGAGCCTGGTGCTGCCGAGCCGGTGCTGAGCTCCAGCCGTGCCTTACACAGTGGTACCTTGTGTGCTCAGTTCTTTAACAGTGTGGTACAGGGGTGCTCTTGGATAACCTTCCCAGATCCAGGTGGCAGTAAGAGGTTGTCTTGGTGCTGCACAAAGTGCCAGGACTCTGTTTACTGCTCTGAAGCAGTGCCTGGCTCCAGCCAGGGGTGAGTGTGAGCTCTGTGGTGGGCACATGGCCCTGCCACCCCATGGGAACCATCACCTGTGATGACACACAGCCACCATCACCTCTTAATGTCACCAGAAGTCTCACACTGAGGTCAGTAGAGTAGTTGGTGCCAGGATGGGGGTACTAAAGGCTGCTCAGCACTGGAGCATCCTCCTCTTCCTCAGCCACCAACCATGTTCCTCTTTTAAAGGCTCACCCCTTACAGCATGTGACAGATACATCTCCCAAGTGCATTTGTGGTGTGTTCAGGTTTGAGGATGATGCTGTGCTACTTCCACTTCACAACTCTCTTGAGCCACTCTCACCTCTTGCTTCTAAATGAGAGTTTGAGATTAATTTAGGATGAGGAACTCTTTGTTCCTAACAGCACACTTCCATGAAAGCAGACTTCGGGGACATAGTTAATTGTTTTTTCCAGTGATTTGCCACACTTATAAAATAATTGTCAAATTACAGCTGTAATTAGGCTGGTTTTCAGCCATTGAGATTAATAGAATGAGCCTAAATCATCACCTTTCAAGAGGCTGAATAAATAATCCTGGGCAAAGTCACTGTTAAGAGTTTTTAAATGATTCAGCTTTATCAGCTGCCTGATTATCTGTTAACGTCTGCTGGAAACCTCACAATAAAAGGGTCTGACTGACTTTGGCCATTGTATATATTTTTAAAAAGACCCTAACACCACCTAATACAGAAAATCCTTCAAGTGCCTTAGCTTGAATAGCTCTTTTTATGCCATATAATGGGCAAGCTGAGCAGGTAACTGCACTGCCATGGTCCACTGATCAAACCATAATAAAGAAATTGTGTTGGATCGACTGTGGATGAAAATACTTTGAGTGTTTGGTTAACTTTTCCCCCTTAATCTCACTAAAATGAAAATATTCAGACTTGATCTTGGAATGGAACGTGCTTGTTTGAGTACCTTCATTTTGTGTTTGAATTTATTTTTGAAGCTTATTAAGTCTCAAAGAAAACATTACAATATTTTTTAGAGAAGTTAAGCCAGAGCCCTGAAAACTTCTCCTTTTTAAAAATCTCATCCAACTTGCTGATATCTGCACTAATGTGTCATGTGCCATGGTTGAGCTAAAACTTTTTCTGCATAAAAGTGGAAATGGCTGGGTTTGCTCTGATGGCCTTGCTGGGGACTGTGTGTGCTGAGGACACACAATTTACAGCCTTTTGAATGTTCTTTGAACCCATCCACCTGGCTTTCAACAAGTCTGGAGCGAAACGAAAAGGTTTATTGCATTACACTCTGGGTTTTTGATGCGCTGGTGGGAGGTCAGTGGAGGTGCAGGAGGGACTGAAGGTTTCCTGCACAAAGCTGGTCCTGAGCGTCCTCACTGTGCCTGGGAGAAGAACAAAGCTCCTTCCTCAGGAGAGCTTTGGAGAATTCTGCTGCTTTCTTGTTCTTCATCGGAGCAGGTGGTGCCACATCCAGCTGGGCTGGGAGAAGGGAAGTCATCAGTCTGGTCTAGTGGGTGGCATCCCTGCCCACGGCAAGGGGGGTTGGAACTAAATCACCTTTAAGTTCCTTTCCAACCCAAACCTTTCAGTGGTCCTGGGATGGCTGAAGGCTCCTGTCCAATGCTGGTGCAGCCTGTGGTGCTGTTCAGATCCTTCACCAGGTGTTGAGATCCCAATATAATGTGTGTGCTCATGCTTTCTGTACAAGTAAATCGAAAGCTTTGGGGTGGGAGACCACATGCACATGGAGCTGCGTACTGAGGAGCAGAGAGCTCTGGAAGAAGCACTGGGCTCCTGCATTCACCTAATTTCTGCTTGCTCAGGCATTGTCCCCTGGAGCCACAGTAGAGAGAAAACTCTTTCATCCTTATCTGGGTACTTTCCTTGGCTTAAGGCAAGGTCGTGTCACCCATTTGTTTGTGGAAAAGACTTGTGCTTTGTTTACCCAAAACAAACACCGGGAAGAGAGCTGAAATGTAATCTGCAGTGAGCAGCCTCCCACAGACCTGGAAACCCTCAGGGTTTTTGAGCAAGGTGCCCGGGGCAGATGAGCTGCTGGGCTGTGCCTCTGCTGATTGCATCCTTATCTGGAGCCCTGTAGGCACACTTCCGCCTTCTCTTGAATGTCCTTTGGCCACCTAAACAGCCTAGAATAGTTCTCAGCTGCAGATAACTGCTCTCAAGCACTGGTCTGGAGGAAACCCAAAACTTTTTGGGTTGAACAGCATTGCACAAGAGTTTCTTAGCACTTGGTTTAAGTGTCTCCAGACCCCAAAAAAAAAAAGGCTGGCAGGGGACAAAGAGCCTGTTGCTGATATTGGAGAGGAACTTGCTGTTTTACAAGCATTTCGCCTGCAGAAGAGGCAGGAGGAGGTGACTTACATAGATGGAGGATGCCATGGAATCTGCTTTCTCACTGATGGAAATGTCATGTTGGGATGTTCTTGCAGGAAACACTTGAAAAGTGTTTGAGGGAGAAGACCTCAACAGGTTCAGGCTGCTTTGTTTTTAAATCCAATGTGAGCAAATTTCAAGCCTGTAACTCCATCAGAAAGTCATGAGGGCTGTTGAATACCTGAAGGAGTGGATCTTGCATGGTTTTGAAATAAGAATTGGAGCTCAAGAGTGGAAAACATGCCAGGCATCTACATCTGGCAATGCAGACCATGTTTGTATCCTGTTATTTTATTTGCTGCTTTGCAGGACATTTAGTCCTCATAAGCAGAATTGCATAACTCAAGGAGGGGGAAAGATCAGGTCTTGAACTTCTTAAATCTTCTTCTGTGTAGATTCAGATGGTATCTTAAGGGTAGGAGCATTGGCAGGGATGTGTTTTTCCAGTCTGCTATCAGTGGTGGCTGTGGGTGTATCCATGACCCCGGGCCAGCTGATTGCCACCAGCAGTTTGATCCATCCTGAGCCTGCCCCAGCTGCGTTTGCATCCCACCAGTGTTTCAGTGGTGGCTTCGTGGCCATCATGTGGAGATGGCCTGAGGCCCAGCACTGTGCCTGCCTTTTGCAGCAGGGGTGGCCAGTGAAAGGCCTGGCAGTGAGTCAGGTGCCTCTGCCTGCAGGGCAGTGTGTGGGGATGGCAGTGAGCTCGAGGGCACCAGTGCATGCCCCGAGATGGGCACTGCCAGCCCGGTGCCAGGAGCTCACGTCACCTGCTCTGGGACACTTGCAGGCACTGCTTACTCAGTTTTCTCCCAGCTCCTCGTAGTTACTGTTTGATGCATACCCTGACACCAGAGGGTTTGTGGGTTTTAATTAGTAACCCTGGGTAGTTTAGTTATCCATGCAAATATCCAGTCCTCTTCTGAGCCCTACTCCCTTCATACCCTTGGCACCCTGCAGCTATCATCTATGCAGGAAAATGCATGGAAGGTGTAAATAAATGTCTAAATGTCTGTTTAGTTATAACAATATTATAACTAAAAAGAACCTTGTGTATTAAGTTTCGAATCCACAGTTTCATTTAAAAATACAATAAAATCAAATATGTATTTTGTAGGCTATTCTGTTACGTAAAAGAAAACAGTTCTGGAAAGATGGATATCTAGCTGAAACATTTTACAGCTAATATTTTCCTTCCCAGTTCGACTTCCAAATCACATTTGTCATGTTCCTCCAAAAGCCCCAGCTGGCTAATGGAAAAAGCTTGCTTTTTGTTTTCTGGCTCTCTTTCTCCAAAATCCAATGTTTCAGCAATAGTGGGGAAATAGGGCTTCAGAGTGAAAAGACCTGAGTTACTGTCTCATTTTTAATGTGTAAAAATTTAAGTGTTTTATTGTGAAATCTTGTTAGCTCTATAGGGCAATCTGTTATTATTATTTTTTTACAGCACCTTTGTGCCGTGGGACTGACCCCTTGTGTAGGATTAGAGAGCCTGTAAGCCCTGATAATACCATGTAATTAACAACCCATGAGGAGCTGATTCTTGGGAGTGAAGTCAAAGTTTTCATGTAATGACTCTTAGCAAATTAATTAGGGTTTGGCTTCCTGTGATTTCAAGGAGGAAGAAAGCTGGAAAGTCAAGGTGTTTGGAGTTTGATTTTTTCACTCCTCCTGAACTCTAAATAAGGATAGAGCAGTGCCTCAAAATTACAGGAAACAGGATAAATTTCTAAAGACTCATTAGGTGTGTGAGTTGCAGCAAAATACTTAAACAATACATAGATATTGAAAAACAAACTTTATAATGATTATATTTCAAAAATGTTTATGTGCCATGACTTTGTCCTTGTATTGGCTATGTTTATACCCATGTGAGCACCAGTTACTTCTCTCTGAATTATTGTTGCAGCTCAAGAGTGCCTGACCCATTTCTCTCATTGCAGGTAGAGCTTCACGTCCACCTGGATGGAGCCATCAGACCAGAGACCATCCTGTACTTTGGCAAGTGAGTTGTGGGGGGAAGTAAGCTCTGGGAGCTGCAGTACAAAGGCATCCTCCCTTCTGCTCCCCCAGGTCTGTGACAGCGAGCTCCTGCAGGCAGCAAACCTGGCTGGTGCTGGTTCTGCCTCTGCCCAGAGCTGCACAGTGTGAGGACACTGAGCACACCCCAAAGGACAGGGGGGCTTCCCTGGTAGCAGGAATGGGACTGAGGTGGTCGTGGGTTTGTGAGCTGGGCAAGCTCAGAGGAGCCACCATGAGAAAAGTCCAGAAGATCTCATAAAGAGTTGCCTGCCTTTGAAGTGAACCCAGGACACAGCAGAGGTGCTGTATTCTCATTTCTTTTTCCACATTCCTAGTTGCAAAACTAAATGGAATGGCAGCAGGCTGGGAGCATTGTCTTGGTGTTGGTGCTGCTACACGGTTTGGGAGGAAAAACCAGCTTGGGTGGCCTTGCCTGCCCTGCTGCCATGTGCATTTGAATCCCAGGCTGTCAGCAGGCAAGGAGTCACCCTGGTGTGGGGCTGGCCCAGGGAAGCACTTGGCAGTGCTTTAGAGAGAGGTTGTTTCCTTGACAGAGCCCACGTGCATCTTCCTTCAGTGTAGATTGTGTGGGAAGCACAGGGTGAATGATTAACCTGTGCCAGGGCCTGGCTCCACATTTGTAAGCAAAATAAACAAGATTTCTTCCAGCTGTCACTGATATCCTCAGATCAAGAAGGTGGCAAGGGTAAGGATTTTGGGACACGGCTCTTAGGCACAGCTCTGGTATTCTGGGGAGGAAGCCAGTTCTGAGGAGGATGGGAAGTGGTTCTAGCATCCTGTGAGCCCAGCAGATTCCAAGGCAGTGCAGTCCTAGGGAGAAATATTATTTCTGAAGTAGCTTTTTCTGCAGGGCCTGGCCATACTTTTTGCTGTGTAGCCAGAGAAAGGAGGGTGGGTCAGGGCTGTCCATCCCATTTTTTTGCTGGATGCTGGCATGGTGAACTCAGAGTTCCTGCAGGTGGGCTGCAGGGCTGGAATACAGGTCCAAGTGAACAGAAGAGCTGGTGCTGACTCCCTGGGGCTCTGCTGGGTCCCTCTGCCTGCAAACAGAAAATGCCAGTGTAGTCCCCTAGGAGAATTGTAGGAGCCCTGAAACCCAGGAGGTACTGGCTGTCTGGGGATTCTGTGCCAGGATCCTTTCTGAGGGCAGAAACCTTCATTGCCTGAGTGTGTGCTGAGTTCCCTCTTATTTTTAAACAGCCCTGGCATCCCCCTGAGCTGCCAGCCCTCGGGTGAAGCAAGGCTGTGCTATTCATGGGCTCTAAAACTTGCACTCACACACAAACCAGTGGGGCAGTGCAGAAGGCTGTAGGGGACTGACTGCCTTTATAACCTCACCCTGGGCCCAGAATGCTGCTTGTGGTCTATTTTTAAATGTAAAGATCTGGAAATAATTTTGCTAGGTGGTGTTTGACCATGTAGACAGAACCCCAAGCTGCTGGGATGCACAGGCCCCCTTGGGCAGTGCACTGCTGAACTCAGCTGTTTTTAGAAAGTTTGTCTCCAATTCTGTCAGGTCTGGGTCAGTCTTTGCATCATTCCTGCTCAGCCAGACGGCTCAGAGGCATGACAGACCCCTCATGGGGACGGGGTGTGCCCTTCCTGTGGTGGGATGGTGTGCATGGTGCTGCCCGTGGCTGGAGGGAGCTCTGGGCAGGACACCGAGGTGGCAGTGAGGACAAACACATTCCTCTCTGGCCACTTTGCTTCCAGAAGAATCTTGCCTACAAGGAGGGTTGGATGGGGCAGCAGCAGCTCCAAAACCCACACTGGCATGATCCACCAGATCTCCCCCTGCAGAGGCATGGTTCCAGTGTGGATCATCCCAGAGCACTGCCACTGGTGCCTGCAGGAAGGCTCTGCTTCAGGAAGCACATGAAACAGGTCAGGGAAGTGGCTCTGCTGTAGGAAACTTTCCTGTGGCAGGTGGAGGAAGGTGCAGGTCGGTTCCTGGAGCAGAGACTGAGGTGTCAGTGCCACAGAAAGGGCAAGGCAGGGAGGAAAACCGATGCCTTGGCAGCGATGAGTGTTCCCTGCTGAGTGCCAGCAACTTAATCTGTGCAGATTGCATGTGAGGGCTGAGCATGGGGCTGGTTTCCTTCCTGGCTGAGTGGGGAAGGAGCAATGTTTACCAAGCCCAGGGGTCCTTTGGACTGTGTCCCTGCATGGCTCATTGGGATGGCTGCTGGCAGGGCAGCACTGAAGCTGGCTGTGGTTTTGTCTCTATTAGCAGAGTTCTTCCACCAATCAGCTATAATTCATTGTGGCAGGAAAGAGGATTAAAAACAAATGTCTGGTTATTATTCCAAATTTGTTTTGGCTTGTGCAGGGTACCAGAGGGTGGGGGGATGGCAAAGCCTGCCCAGGAAGCTGCAGCACCCTTGGCTGGCTGCCCCCTCGATCTCAGCTGTCACCACACCAGGACCACCTTCACCCTCTTGGTATTCCAGCTGCTCCTGGGAAAGATGGCCTCTTCCCTTTGGAAGCATTTATGTGGGCATTAGGGTGTCTGTGTCTTCAGTGAGAGCAGTTGTTGCCCTTTGTTCCTGCGTGGGAGGTGTTCCTGTCACAGGAGATGCCACCAGGGTGCTGGGCTCAGGAAGCAGCTCCCTTGCAGGAGCTGCTGGCACCAAACCCATGAGCCACGACACTTCTGCCTGTGTGATCCCTGCCTTGGAGCATCTCCTTGATTTTTTAATCCTTTGAGCCTGCATAAGTGGAAATTAACTCTTCTAAAGAATTTTGGCAATTCTGCTGCTAGGTCTAGGAGGTGCCAATAAATAATCCAGAGCTTCTTTAGATGAACTCCTTCTTAAGCTTAAAATGTGCCCTGGCTGTGTTCCTGCCAGGTCAGCCTGGGCTTGTATTTCAGTTTGTTTGTGCTTTGCCTGTGTTTTGGACTGCCTTCCTCTCTGCTGAGGTTCAGGGCTCCATCCATGAGGAGATTTTGGAAGGACAGCGTGTGCTGTATCTTTCCTGTGAGGAAATGATGGTTGAAGCTGCCAGCTTTGGATGCAATTGGTGTATAAAATGGGCTGATTAGAAATGTGATAACCTTCCCTGTCAGTAACGTGTGACTTTGTTTCTAGGAAAAGAGGCATCCCTCTCCCTGGCAATACTGTTGAAGAGCTCCTGAAGTATGTCAGCTATGACACACCACTGACACTTCCCCAGTTTCTAGAGAAGTTTAATTACTACATGCCTGCCATTGCGTAAGTACCCTGCTTTTTGCTTTTTCCCCCTCAGCCCTTGGCAGGATCCCTTGGCTCAGCCTCAGAGATCCCTGTGGGCCCTGAGGGTGACAGTCCCACTGCCATCCCCGCAGGGGTGACCGTGAGGCGGTGAAGAGAATTGCCTACGAGTTTGTGGAAACAAAAGCCAAGGAAGGAGTCGCCTACGTGGAGGTCCGGTACAGCCCTCACCTCCTGGCCAACTCTGGTGTGGCTCCCATCCCCTGGGGACAAGCTGAGTGAGTGATCCTGCTGTGCTGGGGAGCCCCTGGGTGGCTGGTTGGGCATGGAGAAGGCATCCCCATGCCAGTCAGCCACTGTGCCTTCAAAGGCTGCTGTAACAAACCTCCTTTCTCCTCCCGTGCAGCGAGAGCCAGCATGCTTCCACCTCTCTCTCCCACCAAGAGGGTTTTTCATCTTAAACACCTCTGTGTGCTGCAGTGTTTTAACATCCCTTGCTCTGGGTACTGAGTTCTGCATGTGCAGCGCAGCTGTGCTCAACCTTCTGCCTGAAGCCCTTCCCTGTGAGAGGGAAAGAAATGTCCACATATGGACTGCCTGACCACAGAGTGGGAGTCTGAGCTGGCAGCAGTGGTGGGGGTGTTGGAGGGGGCTGCTGGTCTGATCCCTTCCTTTCATGTCATCCCCTCTGTGATATGTGCTTCTCATTAAATCAATGCTGGGCTCCGGGGCCCCTCCAGAGTGTGCTGTGGTGGGTGCTGAGCCCTGGGCTTGGGGAGAACTGTGTGCCCTAATGAGATGCTCTGGCAAAGAGGGGATTCCTCTGCTAAAGCACATCCCCAAGGCCTTTCTAAGTCTTAGTGTCATCTGTGCCTGCTGCAGTGGCACAGAAGTTACATCTGTACCTGGTAAATGTGGCCCTGGCATGGGTGTGAAAGGTGCTCTGGGTGGTCTCAGTGGGCAGGTGGAACCTGGGGCAGCCTGTCCTCCTGCGGGCATGCTGGGCTGGACCTGTGGCTCCTGCCTGCCTCCCTGGCAAGTGTCTGGCCTCTTGCTGATGGCTTTTCTTCCCTGCAGGGGAGACCTGACTCCAGATGAAGTTGTTCAGCTCGTAAATCAGGGACTGAAGGATGGAGAGAGGGATTTCCACATCAAAGCCAGGTCTATTCTATGCTGCATGCGCCATATGCCAAGTAATGTATTGCAGCTGCCCTGCTGCTCTGCTCCCTTCCCTGACGTGGGGAGGGATGTCCCTGGGGCTGGGGCCCTGCAGGATGTGGGGAGAGCCCTGCTCTGTGGGGCTGGTGCAGCACCAGACAGTGCTGGGGGTCTCTGGGGGTCCTCTGCTCCTTCCACTGCAGGGCAAAGGTCTGCTGGATGCAGGAGTGGGGCTCTGTGGGTGTTACATTTGCATTCTCTGGAAAAACCCCTTTGCCCAGGATTTTCCTCTTGGGAAGCTGAAAAACCTCAAAGAAAAAGGAAAACAATAATTATCTCATTTGCTACTCCTGTGTTTTGCTCCTTTAGAATGTGTTTAGAAATCGTTTATCCACAAGTGATTGTTTCATTATTTTCTGGTGTGAATTATTTTAACTCACTAGCCAGTCAGTACAAAGCTGTGTTGGGACTCTAGAGAAAGTCACAGGTTTTCATTATTATCTTTTTAACATTCTGTAAATATCCTTTCTGTATTCTTTTAGTATAGTATAGTTTAGTATTCTTTAATATAATACAGTATCATAAAATAATAAATTAACCTTCTAAGAACATAAAGTCAAATTCATACTTCCTTCCTACCACAAAAGTCCCCGCAAATACAATATGTGGGTACACCCAGTATCTGAAAGGTCCTGCTGGAGGGACAAAGGGGCTCTTCTGTCCTCTCCTGGGGCAGCTGGGGTTCTGCTCCCTGCCCAAAGGCCAGAGCTCACCTTGGGCCAATAAAAGCCACTGGCACAGTGAGCATTTGCATCTGCCATGAGTGACTGGAGGTCTGAGAGCAAATGGTCGTGGAAGGAGGACCAGGCAAGACATCTCACACTTCCCTGCTCGTGGTCCTACAGCAGGGTGCTCCTTCCTTAGCCTGGGTCATGGGCAGCCAGAGAATCCACTGGCAGCAGCCAGTCTCTGCTGGCTTAAGCTGAAAACACAATTCAGATATACTTAAGGCACATATATAAATTTATTTTAATAAAATCAGCTGCTCTGATGAAAAACTTTGTTGGTAACAGGTGCTGTGACCCAGAATAGGAAGAAAACCCAATTACCAGCATTTCAATGGGCTGCTGAGTGTGACAAGCATCTTCCTCTAGGGAAGGATGCAGCCAGAGAGAGAGGCTGTGTGACAGTAGCTATTTTATGTGAAGGTTTTTTTCTGAGTGTCTTCATATCTCACACCAGTTTTATGTAGGCTTAGTAGAGTAGATGGTGGAAAGATTTTTCCTAGTGAGTACATGACTAATTTGTGTCTAGGAATGTCAAAAATTATATTCTTGGAAGCCTGTAGATTTGAGAGTGGGGTTTTTTGTTTTTGTTTTTGTTTTTTTCCTGCCTGCACGAACACCAAACAATACTTTGAAAACTTGATCCTTATATTTCTGGTTTCTAGGCAAAAAAAAAAAAAAAAAGTTTTTCTTTGTAAAAACAGGAGAGCTGTAAGGCCCAGTCTGCAGTGGCACAGTGATCTGCAGTTACAGTCCCTGCCAGTGCACAAGTGGCAAAGGCAGGAGGTGGCAGGAGCACTCGAGGGTGTGTGCAGCCTGCAGTTCCCTGCAGGAGGGATTGCTGGTGCAGCCAGCAGAGGTGGCATTCTCATACCTGTGTCCCAGGGCAGCAGCTGATACCCAGAGCCACAATGTGCTGATAGAGAGTCTTTAGCAGTGCATTCAGGATGTGCTGCACAGGGAGAAGCCACCCTGCAATTACTGAACTGTTGAGAGAAAGGCAGAGATACCAGCCAGAACTGACTTATATTAAACTTGTTAATAAAATAATGACTCTAACCCAGCAAGTTGGAAAATGGTGGAAAAAACCCCAGATGATGAAGTTGCACATATCATCCTGGTGTGTTCATATGATTTGGGGATTTTCTGTACACAGCAGGTGCCTGTTAATTATTAACACAACTGTTTATCTCTGTTTCTTGGCTTTTCTGCTAGGGTTAAGTGCTACGTGAGCCGGTAGATGCAGTTTCTCTCTCAGAGGTTATCTGTCCTGATCAGAGAGAACTCTCAAGCAGTTGTTGGCCACTTGTTAGTCTCTTTTTCACTGCTGGCAAATAGATAGAGCTTCAGCTCCTTCCTATCAGGAGTAGAATCCTTGGGAGGGTCAAGCATGCCCTACAAAGGGCAGGGATGGCTGCAGTACAGGGCCCCCCAGAGGTCCCTCCCAGCCCAATCTCCCCCTGACACAGCTTATCTGCTGGGGCAGTTCCTCACCTTGCCCAGCTGGGAAGGGATGAGGGCTCAGGAGTTGAGGGTTTCTCCCACACATCATGTTACAGCCCCAGGGCAGTGCAGTTCATCTCACCTCGAGCCAACTGCAGCAGTCACCACTGCTTGGAAATCTTTAAATTATTTTTTTCCCCTGCTTGAAGTGAGCAGAAAAACATGATGAGAGCAGTTTTATGGCTGGTGAATGCATTTAATTTCCTTTTCACTGACAACAGACTGATCCATTGACAGCTTTTATCTGCCTGAAGATCACAGAGATGACAGACCTTTCTAGGAGTTTGCTAGCTTTCTTTTTGAGCATCAAATTTTGGGAAAGACTAAAGAAAATAGCTCAAGCCTTCTAGTTATAGGACCAGGATTTGTTTAGGAAGATGCTGAAGGTGTGACCATTATGAATGCTTCCTCCTGAATCCTGGTGCTGCCTCTCCCAGGCTGGTCTCCAGAGGTGGTGGAGCTCTGCAAGAAGTATCAGAATGACTCTGTGGTGGCTGTCGACCTGGCTGGAGATGAGACCCTGAAGGTGGAGGATTACTCTGAGCATAAGAGGGCTTATGAGGTTTGTGGAATAAGTTTTAAAAAGAAATTACAATAAGAATATGTATTGAGGGGACGTGTGTGAAGGGATGCTTTTCAAACTGCAAACAGCTGGGACAGCTTAAAAAATTCGTTGCAGCTATTAAAAACATTCTGTTAAATAGAAGAAGTATTTGTTTATATTTCCTAAATGATTAATGGCAGGCATCATTGCTAAAACATGGCCTTAGAGCTGGGGCTTGGCACGCTGTGAGTGTGACATGAGTGACATGGAGCCCAAATCACCTCCACCCCTCTGCTGTTGGCTCCTGGGGCTTGGTGAAACCACAGCCAAGGGTGGAAGAGACTGGCCTTTCCAGTCTGGCAGAAGTCACCCGAGGAGCAGAGCAGAAACTGCACATTTGCTGGGCTTTTATCTGATCATCTCAAATGCAAATACTGGAATGGCTTCAGGAGCCTGATCCCAGGCTCTCCCCAAACCTCAGCCTTTGCAGTGGCTCTGAGGGAAGGGAAAGCCTCTCTCCTCTTTGCTGTTGGAAATTTGGGGTTGTTAATCCCCACCATCAGTGGGGGAGGAGGTTGTGCACCATCACTGACAGAAAGGGTGGTGGTTTTCAAGCAGTGCTCGGGTCTGAAAGGACATGGTGTTCCTTGGGGTCTTCACCCCATCAGTGGGAGCTGATACAAGGCTGGCTGCACTGCTGTGCTGAGTGAACAGGCTGATTATAGACACTGGCACGGGAACAGGGCTTCGTTAACTGATGGAAGGCAGGCTCATCGTGCCCTGGTGGGCCAGCAGTACCCAGGTCCAGCCTCCTCTGTCTGAAGGATGCATCTTGTCTCTGTGCCAGGGGCTCGCTCAGGCTCTGAGATACTGAAGCAACAACCCACCCCCCCTCAATCTGTATTAAGTAACTGAAAAACACTCCTGAGTGCAAAGCCCTGAAGGAATGTCTGTGAAGAGCATCTGCTGCAAGATGGGGCTTGCAGCCTGTCTGCTGCTGCCAGCTGGGTGGCCCTTCTCCAGCAAAGCAGGAGCCAGCCTTCCCTCCAGGCCCCATGGCTTCCCAAAGCCCAGCTGGCCTGCAAACCCCTGGCAAAGAAATTTTCAGGGTGATCATGGAGCTGCACCCAAAGGTGCACTCACAGGGTCCTTGGGGCAGGGCTGCCTCCACCCCCAGCCCCTTACAGTGTCAGAGCATTTCTTCACCTCTGCCCTGGGGTGCTTCTACACCCTCACACATGGCCACAGCTAGCCAAAAATGTACAATTTCCAAAGCATGGAACTGCTGCAAGTTTCATGCAGAAAGGCAGGTGGGTGGAGGAAGAGGAGCTCAGAGCTTGCTGCTGTCTGGAGATGAGGCAGTGGTGAACTCACCCAGGGTTAAAAGCCCGTGAAGAGCCTGGCTGGGCTCCAGTGGAAGATAACCAGGATTTTTAAGTGTCTCTGTAAGTGACATTACCGAGCCCTTGGAGCGCAAGGCTCGTGATCTGTGGGCTCTTGGCACAGGAGCCTTGCTGTGTCCCTGAGAGCAGTGCCAGCCCCAGAGCTTGCTGTCCTTGCTGCAGGTGACGGCACAGGAAGATGTTGTCCCTTGTTTTGCAGGAGGCTGAGAGGTGTGGGATCCATCGCACCGTGCACGCCGGGGAGGCCGGCCCGGCCGCCATGGTCAAGGAGGTACGAGGAGCTCCTGCCTCACGGCAGAGAGGGACAGGCTGTGACAGGCCCTGCCCCGGGCACAGAGGCACCCAAGTGCTCCCCATATCCATAGCAAAGGGAACCCTGGACATACGGGCACAGATCCCAGCTGATGGCTGGAAAAGGACGTGCCAGGAGCCAGCTGGGTGGTGTGGGCTGTGCCTGCAGTGGGACAGGGGCTCTGGGCAGGCAGGGCCTGAGCTGTGCTCAAGGCTCTGAGTGCTTTTCCTCTGCTCTCTAGGCAGTTTATGTCCTGAAGGCCGAGCGTGTTGGCCACGGATACCACGTGGTGGAGGACCCTGAGCTCTACAAGCAGCTGCTGAAAATAAAGATGCATTTTGAGGTAAGGATGTGTGGTGGGGCTGTGACAGCCAGGTAGGTGCTATCTGAGTGGAAAACAAGCCCTCACTCAGGCTGTGCTCCAGCCAGGGACAGGACCTGACACCCAGGTGCTGACCGCATGTACAGTGATGTTGTGTTTATGCCCATAGGAAAAATGTTGGGGACAAACCTGTCTGCTTGCTGGGAACACTGATGTGCACAGCAGCTTGTGGGAGGGATGTAGCAGAAAGAATGGATCATTGTGTGGCCAAGGATAAATTCTGGAGGGCTTATTCACTGATTTATACACCTCAAGCCTGAAGGCTCATCCTTCCACAAATCAGGCTGCTGTACCAGAGCAAGTCTGGTTAGAGGGTGGGAGTGCCTGGGAGTTACAGTGCACGTAAGCATTTCTTTTGCTTTTCCCCAGAATGGATATATCCACTAATAGAGGGAATATGTACTCAATGCAGGTGGTTTTGTAACTGTGATTGGCACAGGGCTGGTGACTGACTGGCCACGGGCAACATCTCACTGGCCCCTGTCACAGTCCTGGGGTCTCCTTGCATCCATATCCTGGGACATGCAGTGGTCTGTCAGAGTAGTGCTGAGGGGCACCTGTGAGCAGGGCTCTGATCTGGTTTTACCCGTGTGCTGAGTGTCTGTCTCCACAGCTGGGGTTCAGATCCATGTGGCTGATTCTGGTTTTTATGCTCAACTCCCCCAAACAGGTCTGCCCTTGGTCCAGTTATCTCACTGGAGCATGTTCTCCGGACTTCACCAAACACCCTGTAATACAGTAAGACTTCTCAATTATGTGAAATCTCAAATAACCAGGATTTGTGTTGGTTACATCTGTTTTATTGATGTATAAAGCTAAGGCACATCTAATTATGTAGGACAATATGGCACATCCATGTCCCTTGGCACAGGAGAGCCTGGTGCAGCTGGAGGGGTGTGGGGGTCCCTTGGGGAGGCTGTCCTGTCCCTCCTGCCCTGCTCTGAGCTATGGGGCACGAGAAGCTACAGCCCAGCCCCTCCTGGCAGGTCAGTGCAGAGCCATGGGGGACAAGCTGAGCTTTGTGCTTTTCTCCAGCAGTCCCAAAGTCTTTGCTTCTGCTGCATTTCACCCTGAGAACTGCACAGTGTCACCCCCAGTGCTCTGCCCACCAGTTCAACCTGATTTCTTTGCAGATTTAAGAAGGATCGTGCCAACTATTCTCTAAACACGGATGACCCCCTCATCTTCAACTCCACCATTGACAAGGACTATGGCATCGTGAAGGAACACATGGGATTCACTGAAGAGGAGTTCAAGAGAGTTGTAAGTTGGCCTTGGCTGGGTGCTCTGCTGGTTTTCTTTATAAGCTGAAGAGTTTTTTAATGGAAACCAGAAAATTCCTCTCTGGCCTTGTAAGCAGGAAAGTAGGACCAGGCTCAAAGTACATATCCCAAAAATTCCTGAGTATTTAGACCTTTGCTTTGTGCTGGTCTCATTTCTCCTGGGACTGCTGCTAGGGATGGGCCAGAGCAGTTGGCATAAAATAAAGCCATGGAAATGAATCTGAGACTGGAAACTTTACCCTCTCCCTCGCCTGCTGCTGCTCAGAGCCAGGTGCTGGGATGTGCACAGCTGTGTGTTCATGTCTGATGTGCCTTAATGTCCCTGTGTTCCCCCTCTGCCTCCTCAGAACATCAACGCAGCCCAGTCCAGCTTCTTACCCGAGAAGGAAAAGCAGGAGCTGCTCAGCAAGCTGTGTGAAGCCTACGGGATGGTCCCCAACGCGTCATGAGCCGTCCCTGGGAGCCAGCGTGGAGTAGGGCCCTTCTTCAGCAGAGCCTGCCTCTGCTCTGTGCCAGTGGGAGCACTGGCAGGAGGTGCCCAGGGTCAGTCTCTGCTCCTGGCAGCCCTGTGTTGACCCTTACAGTGCTCATCAGAATCAGACTATCACACACACCTGCTTGTGCCCCACAGTCTCGCTCCTGAATGGATCTCCAGCTTCCTGCCCTGCTGCTGTGCAAGCAGACTGGCTCTGCCTGACTCCCTCCTCCATCTGCTGGGGTTTCTGTGCTGCAAATGCAAACAGAAGAACCTCCCTTATGGTTTTTATCCTCCCCTCTTTCCCTGTTTTACCTGTCCTGTCCCACTGACCTGCCTGGCCCCTGCCTGCAGTGCTGAAATAGCCACTCTCAACTCTGGCTGTGGCCTGGGTTAATCTTCACCTTTCCAGGGAAGAGGTGTGCTAGTGCTGGCAGGGAGCGAGCAGCCCTCTCAGACACAGAGCCTTTATTCTTGTCCCTGTGGGTGGGAGGGTCTGGTCACAGCTGTATTTACCCAGGGTTAGTCTTGTACTAACAAGACTGGAACAAGAACAAGCTGCAAGCTGGTGCCCCTGCCCGTGCACAAGTCTGAAGGGCATTTAAAACAAAATACCATTTTTTTGGCGTCCTTTCTTGCAGAGGAACTCCCATGTATCAGGCCTGCCAGTGTCACTGCTGCAGAAGTGCACACCTTGGGCTCAGGCCCCAGCTGTGCTCACAGCTGGCCATGACCATGCTCGCACATGCAGAGGAAGTTGGAACAGAATTTTACCACTTCAGGCCAAAATCTGCCTTCTGGGATTTTCCCCACTTTTTTAATCTTGGAGAACTACTGTGAGCTGCAGTTTGATCTTCCTCTTACCTTTGTTTAGGACTTGGAAAAAGCGATTGATTGCCTGGTTTAACAATTCTGCCCTCTTTCTGATTTGACACAATCATTAGGCACTCTTAAGGCTGAATAAAGGAATTAACTTGGACCCAATGTCACACATTGACTCAGGTCCCATCTGATTGCTTCTCTCGCTCAATTATGACACTGGCTAGAAGTCAGATCTTCAGTTTGGTGTAGAATTTATACAGAGAAACTCACCAAAATTTCTTTAGTGATTTTATGGCATTATAGTGTTTTTACTCAATAAGCAATAGAGCTGTGCATCCAGAGAAGAGACCATTGTTTTCTTACCTGAGTGTGTGGTGTGCTTTAGCATCCCAGGGCTCTGCCAAGATGCTCACTCCAAAGATACTGTACCAAAAAGTTGCCTTTGAAAAGGGGCCATGGTCACCATTGCCACGGACAGACCATGGGCTGGCCCAGTCTCAGCCAGCAGTGATGGTGTGCTGGGAGTATTTCCATTCTTTCTGGGCTTCCATATTGGTCTTCAGAGTAAAATACTCATCTCTGAAGTACGTGGTGCATATATACACATAGATAGATAAATGAAGATGAGAGAGTGATTTTCTTACTTTTATAAAGCAAAAGATAAAGTATCACTTTAAGGACATGATTGTGGTAAGAAACAGGTTTTGGGTCATTTTTCTCCAACAATTGTTTCTGAAGAAGAGTTGCTTGTTTGGATTCTGGACAGTTGATAGTTAATCCTCTTTAATAAAATAACAAATTTATAGAAAAAAAAGAGAAAAAAAAGAGAAATCCTTGTGCCTTTCTGTTCAAGGGTGACTGTTAGGGACTGTGGCCTGTGGTGTCCAATCCCTGCTAGGGGTTCATCGATGGGTGTGATGGGGGCTTTGGTTGCTGCCTTCTCCTGTTGCCAGGTTGGAGCACTTTGCCAGCCAGAGGGAAGCCTGCTCCCTTGCCAAGCAGCCCAGCTGGATTTACAGCTCCAGGTTGTTCCAACCTGCCCTGTTCTTTTCCCTGCAGTAACACAAGGGGTGTGTACCGCTGCTGGAGCAGCAATGCCCTCATGGGGTACTCTCACCTTTCCAGGTTTTATCAAAAGTAGTCACTTTTTTTTTTTCCTGTCTCCTGGGTTTTGCACAGCTGGTTGATGCTCAGAGCCAAAGAGGGGTGGTCTGGGCTGCACCAGCAGTGTGGGCAGGGGAGTGTTTGCCCAAAGGTTTTTTGGTTATTTAGTACTTGGTTAGGCTTTGACAGCTCTGGCATGCCCGTGTTCAGCTGGAAAGAAGGGCTGGGAGCATCCCTGTGCTCAGCAGCTTTGCAGGTCAGGATGTGGCTGGATTAAGGCAGTGCCCTTGGTCTTTCAGCACAGTCAGTGACAGTGGCTGAGCTGGCTGTCACTTGCAGGGGGAACCTGATGCCTCTCACACATCCCCTGAGAGAAGCTGGCCAGCAGGTCCCTACTCCTCTGCCTAAATATAATTCTGAAACAGATATTTTCTGACCAGGGAGAGCTAAAATTAGCCCACATTTGACTGTTGGAGGTCTGTGTGGTGCTCAGTCCTTCTGCACTGCCTTTCAGCTCTGCGTGTGTGTCAGCATGAGCCAAAGTTACTGTTCTGTGGTAAGGAGAGCTGGAAATGGGGCTTAAAGACACAACTGTGCAGTCAGCCAGGTCCAGGAGCTCCCTGCTGGTTTGCCCCCGGGCACGGGAAGTGGAGCAGGCTCTTGGCTACTATCCAGGCATGGCTCTGCAGTGACACCCAGCCAGCCCAGGAGTCCTTTACCAAAGCAGCCACTGCCTGGCTGCCAAATCCTTGTTTCCTGTGGGGGCTGGAGCTGAGGACCCCTCTGTGCTCACCCCATGGCCATCACTTCTCACAGACAATTCTCCCCACTTCTCTGCTGATTTATGGCCTTGTTTTGGCTGATAAATCTCAAACTTGTAACACTCAGTTCTTCTCCAGGCTGCCAGGGAGGTGATTTGTCACCAGTGAAGAGTTTCCCAGGTCAGCTCTGCCCTGTCCCTGTGCTGGTGGTCAGTCCCATCAGGCTGCTCCACTGGGATCAGTGAAATGCCAGCAACGTTCCTGCAGAGGGAAAACACCTCTTCCCACTGAATCCTGCTGGTTCCTGGGCAGTAAACCTGGGAAAGTGGGGACAGACTTTTATAATCTGTGCCCAGCTACATCAGCCTCCATCTGTGTGCTGCAAATCCCTGGGGTTTCACAGACCCAAACTCAGAGGACTCTTCTTGCACAGCTCCATGTCTCCCTATGAAACCACCCTGCAGCTGAAGGCAAAACAAAGGAAGAAGAAACATCCAGGCAGAAAAAAACCACCTTCAGTACTTGAAGGCTGTGTCATTTATTCCAACAGTTTATGTAGTTTTATCAAACCATCTTTAACACAAAACATGTCTCCTTAAAGACAGAAGGGTGTGAGATCCTACCAGAGATCATCTCAGCTAACAGCTTGCAAAGTTAAACCTGAATGTCAACAGTCAAACCAGCAAAATGTTTCTCCCCTCCCCTTAATAACATCTTGAAGTGTCAAAACCTGAAGAAAAAGATGCCTGTGGCTGGTGCTGCAGGGTCTCCAGGTGGGGCTCATCCCCACAGAGCTGTGCTTTGGTCCTTTCCTGATGCTAAGCAGCAGCAGCAGCAGCACAGGTGAGTGGTGTTGACGTGAGGGCAGCAGGACAGGTCGGGTCCTTTCCCCGCTGCCCACCCTGATGAGGGCCCATGAGGACAATCCAGAGGCCAGGTCTAAGATGCAGATGAGGGTGAGGCTTAGAAAAACCAATAATCTAAATTTCTAATCTATGGAAACAGAATAAATAATAGTCTAAATCTGCAAAGGAGGAAGGTACCTTGGACAGGAAAATCTGGTGTGTCTATTATTACTGAAACTGTTTTTCCCCTAAGAGAAAATTGCAGCTAAGGCATCTCAAGAATGGCTCATATCACTACAACCATGGCAGTGTTGCTCTAACCATCAGGGATGGGGGCAGAAGTCTTTTGGAGGTGCCAGTCCTTGCAAGTGTCTTGTGTCTCTCTACACAAGCATGGTTCCAGCAGAGGCATTTGAGAGACAACTTGCTGTTCCACGTTGGCTTTTGTCCACAGATTCAACAAATTCTTGTTTAATGTTCACAGCAAGGCCCTCCTCCTGCCCATCCCACACCCTTTTTGCTCTCATGGGGAGGGGCTGCTTTCTTGCCCCTTTGGTCTTGCTCCAGGGTCGTTGTCAGAAGAACTGGCATCTCTTTGGCTTTCTGCAGAAGGGAGGATAGGGAAGAAAGCACAGTTACACCCTGCTGAAGACACAAGCCACCAGTGATTGCTGTAGCTGATTTCATCCAGAGAGACAAAAGATTTTTGCCTGAAGATCTATCACTGCCCTCCTGTAACCAGATACTTGGCCCTATGGGAGTGTTCAGGGCCAGGCTGGATTGGACTGGGAGGTCTAGTGAAAGGTGTCCCTGTCCATGGCAGGTGGTCTTTAAGATCCCTTCCAAACCAAACCATTTTCTATGATTCTATGATTAAGAGTATTGGGTTCTCCCTCCACATTCCTGGAGTACAAACACTTCTCAACACGCCTGGCAATGCTGAGAGGGAGCCTCAAGGTAGGGATGTGCACTCATCCAACTTTCAAGTGTTCCAGAACTGTCTTCCTGACAGCCTGGCAGCTGCCTGAGCTGCTCTGGTAAAGCAGCTCCCATTTGTGCTTACTATGGATGGGTGGATAGACACATGGTGGTATGGTCATGCTGAAAGAAGTACAGTTGGGGTAATGAATGTATTTTAAAGTTTTTATAGTTACAGGTTGTAGGCTAGAGATTAAGAAAGTAAGGGGAAAAACTAAATTTCCCTTCTGCAGTGATAGTCTATGTTGTGCTGCTTATTAGTGAAATGAGAGTGGCAGCTTTGGACAGAGGATTCAAGCTCCTCTCAGCCAGCTGGCCAGCAGACACTGAGCAGGGTAATGCTGCTGCCACATTTGGGCTGAAGGGGGGATTTGGAGACGGCTGCTGGTGTGAAAGTTATTCTGTTGTTTTTTGAAATACTGCAGAACTATTTAAAGTTTGATTTTTTTCACAACCAACCAACCAAAACAGAAAAAACAAACCACAACCTGCCCATACATTATTTTTATAAAGCCTAAGGTATAACTGATGTGTAACTTCCTCTGGGAAGGGTCTTGTTCAGTGCATGCCTTGTTTAAGCACCTGTGAGCAAAGGGCCTGGGCTGGAGCATGCAGTGCCAGGAACCAGGGATGATTCTGCTCACTGCAAGCACCCCTTGACCTGGAGAGTCTCCCACCACACGAGCATGAAGGCACTGGCTGAGGAATGAGATGTTCCTCCTGAGCATCAGCGTGATGCTCCTGGAGACAGCTCTGCTCATTTGTGCTGCCATTTAGTTCTGCCCTCCCAGCCTGTGCCAGGAGTGGCTGGGCTTGCAGGTGAGGGTGTGTGTGAGCTCACCTGCTCCTTCAACAGCGAGCTCACCCATGTCCTCGGTCAGCTTGCGCATGCTGATGGTGGTGGCCTCTCGCTGGATGTCATGGACAGCGTTCCTCCGGCCAGCCCGGTCGCAGGAGATGAAGTCAGTGTAGGTGCTGGACTCTACCTCCATTGCATCTCTATTCACTTGCAAAATGCTATGGAGAAAACACAGCTGTGAGGCCCAGGGTGCTCGGCATGGCTCCCTCCAGGTTCGGTTACCCTGTGGGTAACGTTACAGCATGAGA